GTATATGTAATTACTTCTTCCTAATTGCTTCTCTTCAGTTGAAAATTCAAAGATGGAGCTTAAAAAAAAAATTGGCGTAGAAAAAGCAAAGAAGCAGCATACATATAGATTCTTCATATATAGAGAAAATTCTATTGTACATAAAGTATTGTTAAAAAAGATATGAAGAAAAAGAAATTGCTTCATATTTCAGAATATATATAGCTACAATAGCTACAAATAAAAAAGTCACTATAAATAATTCTTTTATCCTATCAGCCTGAAGCCTAACATTACAAACCGAAAAAGCCTTAAAAGATTTCAGCAAAATAGTGTTTAAACTACATTAGTGGAGATTTACATAATGAGCAAGCCTATGGATAAAGAAGTACAATTCTTATTGATGGTGGCCATAAATTTATCAATTCTTAAGAGTCATAGGGAGAAGAAATGCAAGTTCTTGCCAAACAAAAATGGAATCATAAGAACGGTAAATGTTTTGTGAGGTTGAAAAGGTTAATCAGTTTTAGAAAATGATGAAATCCTTATCTTGAACAAATTTTCTCTCCACAAGGCAAACAATGATTTTTGAAGAGAGTTGTTCAAAAAAAAAAAATTTTACTTTTTCCTCGAGGACGAGTAAAAGTTAAAGTATGGGGGAATTTGATGAATATAAATTATTCATGTATTTTCATTCGTATAAATAAGGATTTTTAAATAAATCATGAATAAATATATTCAATTCTCCTATATTTTCTAACAAGTTTTGCAGTGGAAAGATGAATTGAGGAAAGAATACTACAAGCAAAACAAGGAGGAAAAAGAGCAATGCACGTGGTAAACAAGAGTGAATCAAATTTTGAAGTCACAACATGAATTCTTGAAGTTACAACATCAACTATTGAAGTCACAACTTCAAGACTTAAAGTTGCAACATCATCTCACATTTGCTACACATTTCTTATAAATAGACACTCATAATGTATTGTAAAAGTGTGTCTTACGGGAGAAAACTAATCTTTGGTCTCTCTCTTTGCCTTTAGTATTTTCTACTAGTTGTCTTTCTTTTAGAAGAATAATATTACTTCATAAGTTCTTTGTTTTAAATTAGTTTTTATTACTTCGTAATGGAGTAACTTCTTTTGTTGGGATAGTTGATGGAGCTTGATATATATATTATAATACTATCTCAGTTTAATACATCCTTGGCTTGAAACTTTCTTTTTATACTTTGTATTGTGCCGTAATAATAGTTTTAATTAATCATTATTATCACTTTTACATATTTTTATCTCTAAGTTATTTTTATATTGATTTGTAATTCTCACGGAGCAAAATTGATATATAATAACCAATGAATAAAATAGTAGAGTGGGAATAATTTTTAGTAAACTATTATTCCAAGTTCATAATCTTGCTTGCCTAAGTTTTAGTTCTCACGGAGGAATTGTTGTAGGCAAGATTATTGATTTTTGTTAGTAAAAATATTCTCACGAAGTTTTTACTACCTCTTAGCACAATTCAAGCAAAAAAAATATTTCGGTCTAATCGTCACTAGTTTTAACTCAATTAATCACATAACCTCGCGTAGTGTTATTAATTGACTACTTCTTAGTGAGCTAAATATAATTGTATTAGCAATAAGCAATTATTCCTTAGAGAAATACATGTGAAAATTGAGATTTTATTGTAATATATTATCAAGTGAATTCAACGATTCCCAACTTTTTTAAATTATAAATCTTCCGCAAGTTCTTGGTTTTTATTTAAGTAATTAACAAGTTCTAAACCCCACTCACTTTTCATCAAATTGATTCTCTCAAATAGTAATTGAAATATTCAAAGTCTGTAGCATAAATGTTTCAATCTCTGTGGGACGATATCATAAACTATACTAGAATTTGACAAAGCACGAGCAGAAAAATCCTATACACATTGGCCTCGTCAATTAGATTTTATTTCTTATTTGCTAAGCATTTTTATGTTTTTCTATTAGTAGTAATTTTCTACCAAACTCGAAAAGCCATGTTTGAGTATTATCTGGAAATTTTGGTGCCCCTTGTGTTGATATACATATGATAATAGCGAGTCAATTACCTTATAACCATTTCCAAAGATGTTTTCCTGCTATATCCCTCCCCTTCATTCTTTGGAGAGGATTCCTATATTATAGAAGCACTAAAACATGTATCTATATTCCCTTCTTTCTATTGGGGAGTGGGGACCACGGGCGGATCCACATAAGTAATTGTGGTGCTCAACCAATCATTGCCCGTGATATCGTACATATAATTTTATTGATAATTTTGCATGAAATGGATATATATTTAGGTGAGCTCTCATTACTCAAACAAACCGGTGGGTGCTACTAATTAGTGGAATCTAAGTTTGCGCTCTGCATGATCCGGAGTTCGATTCTTACGTAGTTTACTCTTTGACTTTCTTTTTCATCTCCCTTTACATAACTTTCCCTTTTATTCTTAACTTTATCATTTTTTCACTTTTCAATTTTGACAGCCTATATTGTGGTTGGAATCCTCACAATAATGATAATATTCAAGAAAATATAGATATTTATATTTTTCGTCATTCAATTTATGTTTTATCTGTATTAAGTATGAGTGGTTCAAAAATTTTATCCGTATTGTCTAAAACGTATTCAATCTGTCTATACCAATCCGACTCCTCCCATCATTTACTAGCACTAATTAATACTAGTGAACACCCATAATTATTTTAAAATACTGGATCCACCACTATAGGGGACGGAACACAGATTATCAGTGTTAATTATATGCCATGAGTTTCAAATTTTAATTCAGCTTTATCCGCTCCCTTAATAGCGTTATTATCTGTGTCGTAGGAGAATTCCATCACACTTAACCATTATATATTTAATAGGGACAAAATCTAAACAATTAATTGCCTAATAACGAACATTTGCATAAATTAGCCAAAAATTTACTGTAAAGAGCATTTTCTTCTTTAATGGGTCTAAATTACACGGTGAGAGTTCAAATGAGACGGGCCCCAATAATGAGTTACCGAACAATGGGTAACACATCAAAAAAAAAAAGAAAAAGAAAATATGAAGCATGAAATCTCCATAAAAAATATTCTAAAAACTTTAATTATCATTATTATATTTAACGGGTTTTATGAAAAAATAAGGAGTTGTATTTTATTGATCCAATTACATCATTCATAATGTCTGTGTAGTTGTTTCTTTTGTTTAAAGTTGATAATATAATACTTAGTTTGTATAATGAACGTTACTAATAGCTTGTTGGGTCAAGCTAATAGAAACTAGACGTACATATTTTTCCTTTCAATTTAGATGAGGCAATTCGACTCGGTATGGAGTTTAAGAAAAAAAAGATTTTTGAAACTTGTGTTGGTAAAAGCTTTGTGGGGTCATGATATTTGTGTAGTTATAAAAGTTTCTCATTAAATAAAATGGATAAAATGAAGAGTTTAAAGTTGAATTACTTCCAAATTTAAAAATATATACTAAAAAGAAAATTACATCATCTAATTTGAAACGGAGAGGAAGTACTTATTTTGAAGAATTAAGTATTTGGGCCACACTTCGAGAAAAAATGATTTTGAATATGTAGTAGCATGATCGATTCCCGTTGGGGAGAACGAACAGAAATAGCTTCTCCTTGGCATTATAATAAAAAATTAATTTTTCAATAAAAATATCCTTACAAAAATTCATATTTTCTAAAATGTATTCTTTAAGTTAACGGAAAAGGGCCTGATATATCCCTCTACTTTGTTTTATTGTTCAATCCTGTCCCCCGTTATACTTTCCGTCCAAATTTACCCCTGCCGTCTATCAAAGTTCTATATTTGCCCCTATTTTAACGGCCGGGACACGTGGCACATTCTGAATACGGAAAAGGCCTGATATATCCCTATACTTTATTTTATTGTTCAATCCTATCCCTCGTTATACTTTCCGTCCAAGTTTACCCATGCCCTCCATCAAAGTTCTATATTTGCCCCTATTTTAACGGCCGGGACACGTGGCATATTTTAGGAGAAAGAACCAGTACAAAAACAAAAAAACTCCAAACCGCCCTAGAACCCATGACTCGCATGCTCGTTTTTCCTCTCTTAATTTTTTTCCAAACTTCTCTTAAATAAAAACTTTTTTGTTTTTGTACTGGTTCTTTCTCCTACAAGATGCCACGTGTCCCGGCCGTTAAAATAGGGGCAAATATAGAACTTTGGTGGAGGGCATAGGTAAACTTGGACGGAAAGTATAACGAGGGATAGGATTTAACAATAAAATAAAGTATAGGGATATATCAGGCCCTTTTCCATATTCAGAATGTGCCACGTGTCCCGACCGTTAAAATAGGGGCAAATATAGAACTTTGATGGACGGTAAGGGTAAATTTGGATGGAAGGTATAACGGGGGACAGGATTGAACAATAAAACAAAGTAGAGGGATATATCAGGCCCTTTTCTCTTGAGTCAACATATATGTCTCAGCTATAAATATATTTGCAACGTATATATATTTACCAAACTATCCACCACTAACACATACTTAATGATATATTTAAATTATCATATAATGATTAAATAATTATATAAGGTGTCCAATATTATTACTTAACTATATTAATATTCATTAAAATTTTAATGTTTTGTGATTTTTTATATTTTAATTAAATTAAATTGAAAAGTTTAATATTAATCTTTCGTGGTAAATATTTGAATCATTTTGTCTATTTCTTTTAACTAATAAATCCTAGTCCTAGCATGTTAGGGAAAGGAAACGTGGGGCGAAAGCTAGGAAGGAAACAGAATTTTTAAGAAACAAGAATTTTAGGAAACAAAAGTTCCGAAATCCTATTCCCTATCAAATTCGGTAATACTTCCTCTGTCCTATAAATACAGTAGATTAACGTCGTGTATCATTGCACTCCCATCTTTCTAAAATTCCTTTGTATTTTTTTTTTCTCAAAACCTAACAAAACTTTTGAGAATTTTTTTTCCAAGAAATATGTCTCAAGATCATCACCAACATCCCTACTTTGCTACTCGTACACTACCAAATGATGTTTTTCACTTGCAAAGAATGAACCAACAACAACATGATATTCCACATAATCAAACAAGTGGAATATCTAATGATACTCCAATCATGTTTGAATATTGGGAAATAACAACTTACTGTGATCTTGATATGGATATAGATGATAGCGAGGAACGAGCTGGTTGTTTCATCTGCTGCTGTGAATTTCAGAATGGAGATACATTAGTCACACTTCCATGTAACGATGTGTTTCATTTAGATTGCTTCAATGAGCGGCTGAGGAGGAGGAATGATTGTCCGTTTTGTAGTACTGAAGTTTTGTCCACACACGAAGAAATAATAGAAGAAGAAGAAGAAGAAGAGGAGGAGGAGTTCGAGGATGAAGAAATAGAAGAGGAAGAAGAAAAGTTCGAGGTTGAAACAAGAACTTATTATTCTTCTGTAATGGATATAGATGACGACGAGGAACAAGAAACATGTGCGATATGTTTATGTGAGTATGAAGATGAAGATACTATTGGCAAACTTCAATGTGGCCATGAGTTTCATGTTGGCTGCGTCAACAAGTGGCTGCAGCAAAAGAATGCATGTCCGTTTTGTAGAGCTGAAGTTTTGCCCACACATGACTAGTTACATTCTTAATCAGGGGCCGAGGTAGAGTGCTAGATACGGGTTTGACGAACCTAGTAGCTTTGGGATCCATGGCTTCTCTGCAATAGTTTATAACTTCAGACTTGTAGCTTCTCTATACAAATTTTATGAAACATGCCTTACTTTATGATATTTGGTTATGTTTCATATCTGTGTTACATAAAGTAGAAACATTAATTTTGACTTGGTATTTTTCTCTTCCTGCAGTCTTACTCGGAATAAAGAAGATATATATTTAAACTGTGACAGTTCTGCAATTCGATTTGTGACCTTTTAACAATTAAATTGTTATGTTTAAAACATGCATGTTCTTATTAGAGGCTTTTGGATAAGGTCTTCTGTTTTAAGTTTACACTTATCTACGTATACCTAGGTGTGTGGTACTGGTACATGATATCCCATAAATTGGCACATGTGTTAGGTTAAATTTGTAATGTTATTCAACACTTGAGGGTAATATAGTTCTAAAGATAATTTAAAATATAATATATTTTTTATGTAAAAGAATCAAAATCCCACATCTTGATTAATTTAATATTAAATGTAGCTAGTGAACTTTTATAAAGACAAAATTCCTGTTTTACTTTGTCTTACATAATTTTTTATTAATATATTCCCAAAATAATGACACATTTTTATATTTTATTAATGAGAAGCCATATAAATATTATAATATGCTTAAAACTATAAGTTTTAAAAATCTTATAGTCATATACATGTAACAATCCAAACCCTAGTGATATTGTCTGCTCTGGACCTATGCCTTTACGGGTTTAAAACGCGTCAGGGCTTAGGCCCATAACGGACAATATCACTAGCGGGCTGGGCTGTTACAGATGGCAGGGGCGGAGGCTCAAGTGTATATGAGGCCTAAGGCGAAAGTTTAATATGAGGCCTTATTTTTCATTGTTTGTCAAAAATTTATTAAATTTTCAACTTTTCATTTCTTTTGTATTTTTGAATAACCAGATAGATATTTTCTTGTTGACATATTTATATTCTAAAATTTTTTAAACAATATGTACAGAGTAAAATTAATAAAATAATAAATAAAAATAAAAATGATACTAGAAAGCTAGAATGATATTACTCAATGGCTGACTGATTCAAGAAGTTTGAAGATTTTGATTCCAAAATATCTAGTTGGTGGCTTGTTGGAGTCTTGGAGAAAGAAAGAAATCCAGTAGAAAGAATTAAGAAGATGAACATGAATCATGAATAAAGAGGAAGGAAGAAGATATATCTTCTGGAATATGAAGAATGAATACTAGCACTAGAATTGAAATGTTGGCTAGGGATTACTTGGAAGAATAAAAAGTAGAGTTGTCAAATCAAACCAAAGTGACAACTATTTTTCTACTATTTTAAACTTTAATTTATTAATATATTTAAAGTTTTTCTTTCTTTTTATATAAAAAGTACAAAAGTACTACATACATATATTATTTTTTAAAAAGAAAAATCTATAAACCTATAAAATATACTCCTTATTCCTAAAAAATGGGCCCCCCAAAATTGGGGGCCTAAGGCACTTGCCTTACCCCATTCTATGTTAGAGTCGGCCCAGACAGATGGTATCAGAGTTGTTCTTGTATTAGCATTGCCGATGGTGGGCCAGAGTTAAACTCAATTTAGTAAAATCTCGGACTTTACACAGAGTCTCACATCAACAAAACACGAGAGTATGCTGGGATATAAGTTAACAAGCCTAAGATCCTAGCGATGCGTTTTAAACACGTGAGGGCCAATACCACATCGTACAATATCACAAGCGGGCTAGACTATTACATTACAAATGCTATAGCAATAGATCATTAATTTTAAAAGTGTTTTCTATCTTTCTTAAATTTCAGCAGAGTCAAACTATGACAAACAAACTTAAAAAGAGAGGAGTAATAATTAAGGTCTAATATTTGAAACCGGAATACCATGATTAGTTAATGGAATGAAAAATTATTGTAATGTGGGGCAAGAAAATGACAGATGAAGCTTCTCAGTTATATATGAAGATGACTTGGCGTCAACGCGTAACTGGCCTTGACTTTGATGACCTCAATGAATAACAGGGCATTTATCTTTAAACATGTTGTCATATTGATATTTGTGCTTCAATAAACTCAGTCTGAATCAAAGTCTTCCCAAATTTGTCACTTCAGGTTAGTAGCTATATATACAATATCTCTCAGTATATGTTAATTATTACCTTCTGATAAGTTTTCACAGAAGATGATAGTGGTGGAGGGAGGGCATTAATTGCAGGTTCGAACGAATCCTGTAGCTTTTGCTTAAACCTAGTACTTGTATTAGATAAAATATGTATAAATATTTAATTACGAAAATTCAGAAACCATATTTAATTACATACATGTCTATGATCTGTGTTATAATTAATGGATTCGGTTGAACCCCTAACTTGTTACCTGCATCCGTCACTGGCTGTGGTGAATTCGATCTGAATTGATGTTGGATAGTGATTAAAATTAGTTCTTGAGGAAACAACCATGAAAGGGGAAAGAATTTGGTTTTATATACACTGATGGTGTGAAGAATGTTTATACCATTTTGTGTAGTTTGATTAGTTCCAATAGGTTACCTGCTCCCATTTCTTTTTCTGCATTATACTCAGTATTACCCATCTGCAATTGACTTTTAAGTACCTTATATTTTCATTTTTAGTGGATAGAAATTAAACTTAACAGGAAATGTTAAACTTGGCAGTCAATTTGAGGGTTTTAGTATAGACGGTTACTATCTGGTTTGCAGCTTAAACCTTATTAGTTGTGATTATAGAGTGTCAGAGTCTCACATTAGTTGAGGATTAAGTTGTAATATATTTATATATTCTTGAACGATTCTAACCCCGTAAGCTAACTTTTGGAGCTGAGGACTGTTCAAGACTGTATAAAGAGATTACAACTCATAGCCTCAACCAATGTGGGGCCTTGACACCTCCGGTGCTTTTAGAGCCAGACCCGTCCTTGATGTTGGGTTATCCATTGTTATAGCTAAATGTTATGTTATCCACACTTCAAATATGTAAATGTGGGCGTGCCGGTTGGGGCGGGTGTGTGTGTGTGTGTGTGTGTGTGTGTGATAGGCAGGGCGGAGCTAGCATGCGAGATACGGGTTCGGCCAAACTCAATAGCTTTGGTCCAAACATTGTATTTGTCTTAAGAAATCCATTAAATTTATACAAATTATTAGTTTAGAACCCAATAACTTAAAACGGACTACAATCCTCAACCCATAAACTTCAATTCCCGGCTCCTCCTCTGGTGCTAGACTCGGACTTTAGCTGAGGGTATGAGTCATAGTCTCTTGGTCCTTAGCATTCTTAACCTCATAGACTAGCTTTTAGACTTGGGTTAGGTTCAATGTCTTTTTCTTAGCAGTCTGCTTACATGAGCCACCTTATAGTTGGTTTTGTGTCTCTTTATCTTTGCCTTCTGTTGTTTTGCAGACATACTGGCCATGGAAATTGTTGGTGCAGTGATAAGCATGATACAATGTTTTTGTGGAGAGACCTGCTCGCATCAATCCATTTCTGAAAAATGTATGTATATGAGAAAGCCTCATGCATTAGCAAATAGACTTGAAGAAAAGATGGAATTGCTTAAAGCTCGGGAGGAGGATGTTAGAAGAAAGTTACAAGTGGAAAAAGTATGGCGCGGAATGGAGCCAAAAGCTGAGGTAAATATGTGGCTTACTAATGTAGGAAAGATCAAAAGTTCTGTAGCTTGCTTGCAAGAAGAAATTACTAAAAACAAGAGTTGTTTAAATGGATGTTGTCCAAATTATACGTCTCGATTGAAGCTGGGGAAACACTTTGATAAGAAAATTAAAGAAGCCGACAGGCTGTTGGCGCAGAGCATATATCCAGATGCTTCATTGGTTGACATGATGCCTCAGAGAGGAAACATATTACCAGCAACTTCATTAGTGGGAGAAACTGCTCAAAGAAGTTTAAAATTAGTGTGGGAGTATTTGAATGATGGACACACTGGGATAATTGGTATTTATGGAATGGGGGGAGTGGGTAAGACATCCATCTTGGTAGCAATTAATAATCGACTTTTGAGAGAGAGCACAGTTTTTGATAATGTCATTTGGGTCACGGCATCCAAGGATTCAAATGTCCAAAAGTTACAAAAGGATATTGCTAGAGCTGTAGGTTTATCTTTTGATGATGAAGACGATGAAATGGCAAGAGCAGCTCAATTACTTGAAGCCTTGATGCGAAGAAGAAGATTTCTTTTAATTATAGATGATTTATGGGAAGCATTTTCTTTGGAGGTTGTAGGAATCCCATTCCCAGGTTATGGGCATGAGTGCAAGTTGATAATAACTACCAGATCTATGATGGTTTGTCGTGGCATGGAAACAATGAGAGACGTTGAAGTTAGTGTGCTTTCTAAGGAAGAAGCATATGACCTCTTTAAACAAAAGGTCGGTGACGAGGTGCTAGCATCTCCAAGATTACAAGCTGTTGCAGAGGATGTCGCGATGGAGTGTGGAGGTCTTCCACTAGCTCTTGTAACAGTTGGCCGGGCTTTAAGAAGAGAAAATGATATGAGGCAATGGGAAAATGCATTAAGCCAGCTGAAAAGTGCAATGGGAAGAATAGAAGGAATGGAGAATCGAGTCTTTACACGTCTGAGATTTAGCTATGAAAGACTGAAGGACAATGTGACTCGGTCATGTTTTCTTTATTGTGCATTGTACCCAGAGGATCATCATATTGAGACTGAAGAACTGATTAAATACTGGATATGGGAAGGCATGTTGGATAATCTCGGGTATGGAGAATCCAAGATGCTGCAGGGAAAGATGATATTAGATGAACTGAAAAATGCGTGTCTGTTAGAGATCGTTTGTGAAGAAGGTAGTTTGAATGAATATGTCAAAATGCATGACCTCATTAGGGATATGGCAATAGCTGTTACAAGAGTGAATCCACTGTTTATGATCCGAGCAGGAAGTGGAATTCGTGTCCCACCAGTTGAGAACGAATGGCTCGTAGGCCTTGAAAGAATCTCGTTAATGAGAAATGATTTGAGCTCTTTGAGTTTTGAACCGAGATGCCCTCAGCTAACTACCTTGCTCTTGCAGTATAATTCATTGTCCAAGGGCATACTTCCTTCTTTCTTTAACCATCTAGGAAGTCTCAAAGTTCTGGACTTATCTTACACAGGCATCGCTAGGTTACCCGAGTCACTTTCGAATCTGGAAAACCTCCACGCTCTGCTACTACGCAGCTGTTGGAACTTGCGTTACGTGCCAACAATGGAAAGGCTCAAGGAGCTGAGGGTTTTGGATCTCTCTTCTACATCAATCGAGTGTACGCCACAGGGAATGGAAATGTTACTCAATCTGAAGCATCTGGATCTCTCCTATACTACTGTTGATGGATTTGATATTCAAATTTTAGGAACATTCAGGTTTTTGGAAGACCTCTTAACTATTGGTTTATGGCAACCTCTAATGTTCGGTTTGGATTTTGTTAATGTCGTGGCAAGCTGCACCAACTTGGCAAACCTTGAAGCCAATTTCAGCACTTTGCACGACTTCAATCGTTATGTCTTGTCAGGTCACTGGAGCATGCTTGAGAGTTTCAAATTTTGCATAGGCTATCCCCAATCCTCTAAATTACCTGGAAAAAATAGTGTAGGATTTTTCGGGATTCACATCGTTGAAAGGGAAGCCCCTTCTTGGTTGCCAAAGATACTTGAGTTGGCCGTTCATGAATGCTCTGGCATCACTCACTTACCAATGTTTATTATGAACGCCTCTTCCCACCTAAAACATTGCAAAATAAAGTATTGCAACGAGATGGAATGGATTATAACTTCTGAGTGGGGCACATTTCCTGATTTGGAATTGCTAGAGATCGAGGGTCTGAGCAGACTGCAAAATATATGCAAGGGGATTCCAACCAGCCGGTACTCTTTCAACACTTAAAGTGTTGAATGTTATTGCTTGTGATAATCTCATGACTCTGCTGCCACTTGAGTTAGTGCGGCAACTCAACAACCTTGAAGAGATTGAATTGCAAAGCTGTCCAATGCTGGAGGAGATTGTTACAGAAGCAGAAAGTGAAGAGGTCATTCAAGAGAACGACAGTGAAGTGGTCCTCCCAAGTTTGCAAAAATTAACATTGGTTTCTATACCAAGACTGAGAAGCATATGCAGAGGTCCGATGATTTGTGATTCCTTAATGACTATTGAAGTTATAGATTGTCCGGCGCTGGAAATAATTCCCTTCTTTCTGGAAATAAGGCAGCAACTAGCTGACTCTCTCAAACAGATAAAAGGAAGCAGAAGGTGGTGGTGGACATTAGAGCGGAACCACCCTATTGCCACGTCTCTCCTTGCTCCACTCTTTAAACCTGAATCTGCTCCTAATGAAGACATTAGGGTTGATTCCAACACCATAAACAGTTATGGTGGCAGCTCGGGGAGTTCTTCTTTTGGGCCGCGATAATATTCTTACTGTAAGTAATAAGCTTGCACTCTCTTAAAGACTCTCTCAGGGATTCTGAACTGTTATTTAATCAGAATTGATTTGAAGTCAAAAGTTTTTAATTTTGTGAATAATGTTTCTTATTCAACACAATAGGAGAACGGATATAGAACGTTGACTGAGTAGGCAAATATCTGAAAACTTGTGTTATGCATAATGGCTATTTCTGGCAGGAAACTGCAAGAACCATATAATATTGTAATAGATGCACTTATACCTTGTTTTGGTTACAGTTTTATTGTCCTGGATTATCTCCCTATTACAGTCACGCTACAAGCTCTGGTAGTTCTTCTTTCGGGCCACAATAACTTTCTCATGGTAAGTAACAAGCTTTCACTCTCTTAAAGACTCTCAGGGATTTCATATTGTTATATGATCAACATTGATTTGAAGTCACAAGTACTGAATATTTTTGAATCAATTTTTTTTCTTCAGCTCTAAGATAATGGATATATTGTGTTGAGTGAGTAGGCCAAATATCTGAAAAATTGTGTTATGCATAATGGCTAATCCTGGCAGGAACTTTAGAAAAAACAAAAAAAAGGGATTGTAATGGAACGACTTATGCCTTGTTTACTTTGCAGTTTTATCCCGATTTGTTTCCTACTAAGCTATTATGCGTTTCTTTCTTCTATTTTATTAAATAAAGAACAGTGCTGTTGCCTATATCATATCAAACTTTTGTCGTCTTGTTTAATATTTTGGTTGTTTTTGAGTCGTCGTAATGAAAATGAAGAGGGGATTATTAGGTGAGTTTTTCTTATTGGCATAGAAACCCATGATTTCAAGAAGTGATTTTTCAATATTTTAGCTGCATGCACATTTTTAGTGATGAATCAGTCCAAATTAGCAGAGATTATTTTCATGCATCTTTCAATTATCATTTCAGGAGAAAATTTAGTAAAATACCCTTTTTCTAAGTCCAGACCTTTCCAGTGTCTCAACATGGTTCCGGACATGATCAGCTCCAGTTTGGTTTGGCTCCAGCAGAGTGCAATCTATCTCGGCTGAGTCCTCACCATGAAACAGGCCTAGAGTTTGCACAATCAGTAGGTCCTCGCCTCAGGCACTCACCTTCTGTACAATCTGTCGTGCAGCTGAAGATCCGTAGACATGATTGGAATGTTGTATATAGCTACTCATAGACAAGCTCCCATCATCACTGTTTCTCTGGCTTGAGACACCTTTTCTGGACCTTCATCAGATTTCAGGGGAACATGGTCGGGTTGACCCCATCCTGCCCACTGGATGCCCCTGAAATTGGGGCGGTCATAGCCCATATCCCGCCTGATGGTGCCCAGACCTTGGCCATTCGGGTGATCAGCAGCAGCATACAGATAAAAGGACTGTTTTCATTTGCATTGTTAATGTAAATGTTCTGATCATTTGTTAAAGTCAAGGCCATTTCAAGTAGCAAAATCTGTACTGACATTTAAACTGGTTTCAATATCTAGCTGCAACTTCTTTAGCGAGTCAGCAGCTTCGTCTAGTGAAGGCCTTTCCAGCGGATGAATGACAATGCATCCACAACACCAGGACGAGGATGAGCACCCGAGTGCTGCTCTCAAGGTTTATGCCTTCATAGGCAGCAGCAGCCATGGCTAGCACGTACAGTTTGGTGCGAAGGGCTATAAAATGAAACAACTTGTGTTATCATGAGCAACACCTATGATGCAATTGTGTAAACTCTATTGTAATCGTGAGCTTGAAATATGTTCACGATGACAGTTTCTGCATCGATCTTGGCAGCACGTTCAATGGATTCAAGAGCTTGTTCGTCGCATGATTTAGAAATGTAAACTTTGCAAACATAGCAACAATTGTATTACAGTTTTCTTCTTGACCTTGCACAGTCGAAAGACGAAGATTCTAACATCAATTCAAGGTGATGTTGAGCTTTATACATCTTTGAGATACAGCTTTTTTATATTCCATTTTGCACAATAACATGCAAAATGGTAGGCCTATTTAAAGTTTTAACTTCTAAACTTTCTTCAATTTGCTGTCAGTTTTTCACACATTCAAATTCCATCTAATTTATAATTTATGTCTTCAAATCATCCTGATGTACTCCATCATTTGATCAACTGTCAACATAATTAAGAGAGCTAATGACTAATATAATTAGCCTTGCTGTGGAACAAGCTACATGCTTTTCCTTCCATTCTTCTACACATGTAACGAATTAGTATTAACAAATAAGATCAATGCCTCTAATATCTTAACTTTAAGCTACTTATAAAGTAATGAAGCAACCCTTATCATTGACTGTGGCTCTTTCATGGGTTTAAACCGAACAAATACTAAATTTCAGGATGCTTTTGTTAATATATTAGCGATAAAAGTAGAAGCGAGAAGCTCAGATCTATTAAATTATTCAAAAAGCAGTGGCTTAAGACCAGTGGTGGCTTAATCAAATACAATCAAACTTCTCTATACCAGTATCATTGATCACGCCCAACTCTCATCCTAAAAAGGATAATCGGTCGCTGCAAATATAATCCGGTTTAAAAGTCCGGAGTCGAATCCCATAGAGAACTAATGTTTCTCTATAACTGTTCAATATCACTAAGAAGACAGGCTCGAACTATTCCTATGTTATAAATATTGAGATTCTTATGTCTAACTAATTAACTAACAAATTAAATAAGTTGATTAACAACTAGGGATACTAAGGGTTGGAGACAAGATTGGAAAAGCCTAGAGTTATGATTTCCCCAATTGTCGGGATCCTTCTCGCTGTGTCTCCTATAATATGGCCTAAGTATTCTCTACTAATCGTGAGCACTTCAGGTGTTGTAATTCTCTCTCGAGCAACTACCCCAATTTACTAGACATATTCTCTCGAACTACGCTAGCCGGCACTAGTTTACCGCTCAATAAGATCACACCAAGGTTTCGTTATCTCTAATCCCACCTTTAAATCCTGATTTTTCACATACGTTAGGAGTGATGTTGTTCAACAACTACCTTAATATGTACCCTTTCTCAAGCAATACACACTAAATAGGCACAGTCAATCGATGGCCATTCAATCAACTGAAATAAGCATGTAGTTAAACAAGTTGAGAAATCCAAAGGCTAGATCATATTAAACGTAATTAAAAGTCATCCTCCAAGAGGTTCCATCAAATCCTAGATGAGAAAGTTTAGCTACTCATAACCACACTAACAATCATGATAATAATTGAAAGCCTTAAAATACAGATTAAGGAAGAACACAGAAAAAGACTCTTGTGATCTGCGCTCCAGAGTGTTCTGTAGCCTTTTGCCTCTCCAATAGTGTCTTCCCCTTCAAAAACTAACTTTAAGAGGTATTTATAGGGTTGGGACCGAAGTTTACACGTCCAAAAATAGTGAGGAAATAAAATTGGCTCGGATAGCATCATCGGCGCGAGGCACTGTCAGGGGCACCAACATTTCTGCGCAAGGCACTGTCAGGGGCGCCAATGTTTCTGCGCGAGGCACTGCCAGGGGCGCCAATGTTTCCGCATGAGGCACTATCAGGGGTGCCAATGACAGTGTCCTGGACAATGCCTTGCATTGTCTATGGCCATGACTTTTCATTGCCTTGCACATCTTCTTTTATTGCTCCATTTTGTAGCTTTGAGGTACCATTTCGTGCAACTTTTCTCCAATTCATGTCCAAGCATTCCTACATGTGAAATAAACTCTATTAAGCTCAGTTGTTGCACAAATTAGCATCCAAACAACAAGCAAGTAGAGTAAATAACGTCAAAATATATGGAATTATACCACGACATCAACACTCCACACATAAATGTTGCTCACCCTCGAGTCAACCAACCAAACACTTCCTCTTCAAGGACCCAAGAAGCCACAAATTCACAACACACTACACCTATAACCATAGTTGATATCAACAATTAAGCTCTAGCATATGCGGTCAAAATACACTTCCCATACTTATGCCCAATTTCAAAACATCCAACCCAGGAACAATATGATTATAACCCTAGCCTCAAAAAATAACTCAATGTCACAATGCACCCGAGGCTTGAATACTTAATCTAACAGAGAGGTCTAATAACGTTACCTATCCTTTGTGAAACCATGTGCCCTCACAATAAAACAAAAGCGTAAGCGGTCCTCACATCCAACTCACGTGATCAAATATAATTTAAGGACTCAACATATGAAGAAAAAACACTCACTCTCTCAAAGAAGTCACATGCACGCAAAAGATAACATAGGCTTGCCCATTATGTAAACCTCTACTAATGTAGGCCTGCTCGGTCCGAAATCAACTAGGACTTTATTATGGTTGTAATGCAGGCTAAGGAACGGGTAGGATATATTTAGGATATAATGGCTAACCCTCCTAAGCACTTTAACACATCACGTGTTCAACTTTAAGTGCAACATTCCTTCAATCCACTTCAATCATCACAAGATAGCTCACCCCGGAATACTTTCCTTCTTCTTTACGAACTACTTCATATCACATCCACTAGCAAAAATAAGAAACCTTTATTTCTTCATTTATTCTCCCCCCCCCCCCTCCCTTTTTGTATTTTTGGCTTGCCGCTAATGCATTTTTATTTTGTAGCACAAGTGCATATTTCTTCCTTCTATTGGCTCAACTCAAAAGCTACCCCAAATTTCCTCATTACTTCTTTCTAGCGCTCTCTTTACAATTCAAGTGCTTTAAGAGGTCTAAGGATCAAAATGATTCAATTAAGAATAAACGGGGATAGACTTGTTAAGCGGGTGCCAAAAGAAAGGCTTATAGGTTTAAAAGGGTAACTAGGGATGATTTTATTTGTGATAGACAACAACACTCAAAAAGATCAAAGAAAGCCTAACATCACTTTTCAAATCGAACAACACCTAGGATTTCAATTCAATTCACATTCCGGGCAAGTTCTAGACTCAAATGCAATAACATGGACTATGCAAAGAACTCACTTCACACAAGACACATGACTCCCTAAGGACGATTTAATTCGGACTCTCAATCAAATAAGTATTCACAAAGCCAAGAGATATATTAAGCACAAAGTGAACACAAGTTTAGCAACCGAGACATAGGAGTTACACCACATGCTATTCAGTTTTACCAAGGCATCATCATATATTTAAAGTTGAGAGAAAGTGAAACACATGCCAGAAACTAAGTATGCAACCATCAGACAAGTCAAAAGGTGAGAATCACATCATTTCTTCTTCTTTATTTCCTAAGTACTATTCTACTATAAGAAAAAATATACTATTACCCTGTTCAAGTTACATCCCATGAAAAAGAACCGATGCACAAAGAAAAAACACAGGGGATTATACTACCTAAGGGAAATAATTTTTTTTTTTTTGTATTTTGTTATTTTCTAATTATTTTGTATTTTTTGTTTAGACTTTAATCCCCCAGGAAAACTGTCTAGGAGATCCATAGTTGGGAAAAGTCCAATTTCTTTTTTCTAAAAATAAATTATCAATTAAACAAATACAACTAAAATAGCAAAGAAAGTCACACAGACAATCTTCTCACCCCACGTTTAAAATTATGCATTGTCCCCAATGCACAACATAAATAATATAAGGGTAAAAGAAACTCCCTGGTAAGCCAAAGGCCGAAGCACTAGCAGCTCATGGGATACTCTGACTTCTCCCGTGTATTTTCCTTTATGCAGGCACCCCACACTTAGTTCTAACCATCTGGCTTGTTGTTGCATCCTTCCAATAGTCTGCTTCCCATGCTCCTAAAAATAAAAAACAACACTACAAAAATAATACAATAAGAAAATACTTAAAAAATAAAAATAAAACAAAGCAGTAAAGTTGGGTTGCCTCCCAACAAGCGCCTGATTTAACGTCGTGGCACGACGTGAACCATCTTCTGCCTCCACCTCGAGCTTATGAATTGAGCCCCCAATTTGGCTTCAAGTTTTCGGTTATGCTCCAGGGGTGGTGGAACAAATCTAATTGGCCCAAGCAGCCATTGTATTATTCTACACTTCTTGGCTTTTAGATGAGGTATGTAGTCCTGTCTTTCTGGAAAGAAAAATTCCAGAATGTAGGCACCTTGTTCCTCATTCCTTGACTCCACAATCGGCTCGGATGACTCTATTTTCATATTATCATCCAAGCATAATGTGGAAAAATATTTGGAGCGGGGACCAATGAGCTCAGATACATGAACTTTAGGACTTTCAACATCCACAACATCAATGATACTAGAGTGAATAAAATTTATATCCTCAATATTCTTAGCTGACTGTAGACTTATGTCTTCAACATCGACATCCTCAAATTGTAGTTGGCTAGGTTTTTTATGTTCTACTCTGACCTCCTCCAATAGCACCTCGAATTCACGCTCTTCTTGGCTACTATCCCCAATACTGGCTTGTTGAGCATTAAAAAGCTTCGACCATTTGACTCACTTGATCCTCCAAGTTGCGAATAGTTGCCTCTTGCCTTTCTATCTGCAGTTGTTTCTCATTATTTTGTTCCAGAAGGCACTTTAACATATCCTTGATCTCCTTCAGGTCTGCATCCCTAAGTTCTTTGTTCCTATTAACTTCACAAGTAGAACCATCATAGTAAGAAGTGGGGGGAGGATAAGAAAGATAAGTACAACCATGAAAGTGACCATCTTGACCACCATACATTTCACACATATTTCACACATAAGATTGAGTTGGTGCACATAACTCGCTCTCGGGAATATTTTGATAATTTTGCCATGGGTAGTTTCCTTCACAATATGCATAAGGAGGATCAAAAGTAGAATTACCAACATCAAAGCTTCATAATTCCAAGATGCTATGTGTCTCAAATCAAAAATAAAAGTTCAAACTTGACACCAAGCAATATTTACAGCTACAGCTACGCCGTTATTTCCACGGCAACGACGCCAAAATTTGATCACGTCTAACTCTAGTCCTAAAAAGGATAAGCAGTCGCTGCAAATATAATCCGGTCTAAAAGTCCGGTGTCGAATACCACAGAGAACTAAGGTTTCGCTATAACTGTTCA